CCTACATCTGACTCTTTTAGTTTTAGGACTTACAAACAATCGTTATGTGAACAAAACTATACTCTCCTTAGCAACTTTGTTGCGAGGGTATAAAAATATATCATTACTAACTAATGGCTTTGCTAACAAAGCAAAAAATGAGTTTAAGATTTTGGAGCCGTTTAGTAAGCACCAAATGAATTTTTAAATAATAGTGATAGAARGTTGCCATCTGTTCGCTAATTTTGACTAAAAAAATGTAAGATATGGAAACAATGTAAACTATAAAGATTAGAAAGGCTTACTGTTGAACGTATTTTTAAGCAGTGTTGCCAACTGTTTAGAAATATAAGTCTTGTACAAAAGTAAAATRATAATGAAAATATAATATTATTTCTGATGGAAATTTTTTCGTGAAGAATATCTTCTCTTCTTCTTAATTGGCGTAGTCACTCGTTTGGTATCGAACGGATCGGAGAGGTCCTTCGCGATTCTGACGKAGCTTTTGGYGCTGCTCAASGTCAGCTTACACAGCCGTATAAGTTTTRCAGGGATACCAAATTCAGAAGAATATCTTACTCAATATATTAATAGAAAAGGGAGAATTGCCACATGTTTGAATAATATAATCCAAAAACAAATAAAAAAGAAATTTTGGATGAAAATTTTTTTGAATTTTAAGTTTTATAGATTTCAAAAAAAATCATATATAATCATCATATCATTTCATAACGGAGCATTTACACCGTGCAAACATTTTTTTCAAGAGAGTTGCCGTCTTCTGAAAAATTTTAAGTAAAAATTACTTCAATAATTAAAGACGATTTAGAAATGAAAATATTTATTATTTATTAAAAAAATTTATGCAACATTTTAATAAGATTTTATAAAATTCCAATGTATTTTTAAGCAATCCTTGCTAATACAAGAGTAATTCGCTTTAATCTGTTATTGTGTTTTTCGTTTTATGCGATTCAATGAATTTTATATTTTCAATTCAATACTTTCTTTGTTTGCATTGGCATTTGGGAGTAAATGTTTTTGTAGCTTTTGGATTGGTATCCCAGCAAATTCAACAGGCGACTGACTAAATGGAAAACAAAGCAAAGAATAACTACTATATACCATATACGTATGTATAATTGTGGTTATGTGTTTGACAAGCAATTTAGAGCACAGGCCAATGATTTTATAAAAAACTTTTTTTTCCACTTTTCTACGGTACCACTTTGGACTATACAAATAAAAAATTGACTTTTATTTTCATTTAAAATTATTATTATTTTTTTTGCAAACTCGAAATTAAGTGAATTTCGTGAGTTTAGTTTTTGACACAACTGTACACATGACAAAGCGTAAATTATTATTTGGAATTTTGCTAAATAGCAAACAAACTTCAAAGCAAATGACATTAACATTCAAACAACTTGCTATTTTTATTTCGCTGCTTCGTTAGACGATTTTAGTATTGCTTAATACTTTTGTATTGCAGAAAGTCGAAATTGACAGTTTTATATGACGAGGAAAGAAAACTTGTGACAGAAATAACATTCAATAATTTAACCGTACATATTCACATCAATATAGTATTTAAATATTGATACATTGCACAGAATGTATCCGGTACAGTACAATTGAAATCTAATGACGCTCTTCCAGCTGATGACAATCAAGTTTCTAAAACGCCTAAAAGTATATAACCTTGTTGTATTGTTCAGTTTGTATAGCAGATAAATGCTATAGTGGTCCGAAGTGCATTTTTTCGAAGATTATGCCATTGCCGCAGGCAATTATCCATATCAAATTGTGTGAAGATATCTCGTCTTAAGGAGAAARGGACGTGTGGAAAGTTTTAGATCGATATATCAAAAACTGAGGGACTAGATCGTGTATATAACTGGGAAAGTCGCGGCCGGACATATAAAAAGCGCTATTAKAGTTAATTTAATATGATTTGTAGTTAGGCCTAGCCTTCAAAAGAGGCGTGTGTAAATTTTACTGCTGTCGGATTTAGTTTGTGTAKTATATTATTTTGAGTGAAGCAACTTTTGTTATTGTAAAGAAAATGGATAAAACGAAATTTCACGTGTTGATCAAATATTGYTTTTTGAAGGGAAAAAGTACAAAAAAAAATGAATCTAGTAAAATGAGTAAAATGAGCACCAAGGTCGGTGAACGCAGTRGACRCCCAAAAGAGGTTSTTACCTACGAAGACRTCGAAAAAGTCGACAAAATAACTTTGAAACACCATAAAATGATTATTCGAGATAGCACTCTAGAGATATCAACAGAACGTGTACAGCATATCATTCACGATTATGTATTTGGGTACAAGGAAACTGTGTGCAAAGTGAGTACCATGCGAGCTCACTCATTCGGAATAGTGTTTGGAGATG